GGGTCGGGGTGGCTCGGCGGGTGGTGGGCCAGGGGGGCTGCGAACCCGAAAGCGGCCGAAAGCGTCCCGCGGCGCCCCTCCTGTGGTCTTCCTCCACGGCGCGGCGAGATCGGAGAGCTGCGGGCCGTGGCGGAGGGGGCCGCTGGCCCAGGATGCCCAGGTCGGGGGCGCGCCCCCACGGCACGCCGGGCGCGACGCCCCTCCCCCCCTCCCTGGTCTCGCCACGATCCGCGCACGCGCCGTGTGGGAACCGCCCATTCCTCAGCACTCCCACGCTCCTGAGCGCTCCCCAACGGCGCCGGCGCGGATCGTGACGTGAGCGGCCCCCTCCGCCCTCCCCCCCCCTCCCAGTCACGCCCGCTATCGCCAGGGGAGACAAAAAAAACGATCTCCAGGCAGATGGACAGGCAGGCAGGCAGGCAGGCAGGCAGGCAGGCAGGCAGGCAGACAGACAGACAGGCAGGCAGACAGGCAGGCAGACAGGCAGACAGGCAGGCAGGCAGACAGGCAGACAGGCAGACAGGCAGGCAGACAGGCAGACAGACAGACAGAGAGAGAGAAGGGCCAGAGAGAGCCCACGGCGCCCGCAGCCCCTCTTTCCGCAGCGGGCGCGCCCCGAGGTCTCGGCGGCGCCTTGGGCGCTGCCCTATCCCCGCGGGCCGCCCCGCAGCGGGCCCCCGGACCGCCCGCTGCCGCGATCTTTCTTCTGCGGCGTGGAGCGGGAAGGAGGACCAAAGGCGCGAGCAAAGCGTCGCCCTTGTCTTGAACACCGCTTGCGCCCAGAACGAAGAAGAAAACGATAACTGCGCCATCCCTCCTCCTCCTCCTCCTCCTCCTCCAGCTCTCCTCCTCACCATCCCCCTCCCCTGCGCCTCACGTCACGACGACGACGACGACGACGACGACGACGACGACGACGACGACGACGACGACGCCGTCGCACGCGAAAACGAAGACAAAACGGCCGCGCGCTGGCGCCCGACAAGCCAGACGGCCCCCAGGCAGCGCCGATCCCCAGGCAGCGCCGACCCCCAGGCAGCGCCGACCCCCCGGAGGTCTGGACACTCTCCGTGCCCCCGCTCGGGCAACGACCCTCGGAGGAGCCCCAGCGGGGGGGGGGGGACAAAGGTCATGGCATTGGAGGCCCCTCTACACGCGGATTTTGGGCGAAAGATCAAAAATGCCCCCAAAATACAGCAAGCTGTAGTCTCAAAGATCGTCGAAAAAAATCGCCCCCGGGCTATTTTTCTACCATTCTTGAAAAAAAACCTTCTGTGGAGGGACACGCCCGAGCTGACGATGTAGAGGGGGGTGCGGGGGCCCGGACACCTCCGACGCTGGCCTCCTCTCACAGCGCCGACCCCCCAGAGGTCCGAGCCTGGTCCCCGAGCCGTCTTTTTTTCGACGGCCCCGGGAGGCCGAGAACGGACAGGAAAGGCGGACGCTGCCGCTGGAGCGGTGGCGTTGACGCACGCGGACCCTGCCACTGGAGCCTTCGGCGGAGCCTTCGGTGAGCGCCCCTGGAGGCCGAGAACGGACAGAAGCAGAAGAAGAAGAAAAAACCACACAAACAGAAACTTTTGCGGTCCGCGCGGATTTCTTGGATTCGCGCTGGACTCAAAGTTTATGTTTATAGCGTTTTTCTTCTTCGCAGAAAGGCTCCCGTCACGACGCGAGGAGGTCCAGTCTTCGGGTCGCAAGTCGGAAGTCTGCGAGTCGTTCGGGACGATCTGGGCACTACCGGAACGCCCTCGGCGAGGCGCAACTGCTGGAAAGCATCCCGAGGCTGGAGAATCTCCTGGAATCCAAGAAGACGTCCAAAAAACTTCCGTCCTGATTTTTGTCATGGCGCGAGGCGGCCTGGATCGGGGGTCAGAATGCGACACCCGCCGGATCTTTCCTGAAGCGCATTCTGGCCAGAATGTCGAGGAGAATCCAGCCGTGGCAACCAGGGCGCCCCAAGACGCTCAAAAACGTCCACAAACCTCGAACCTCCATCCTGGATTCTCGACCCTCGAACCTCTTCCTCCCTCCTCGAGGCGGTGGCGGCGCTGCCGCCCGACACAAACGAGCCGACGGCCCTCGTGATCACGACGCGAGGAGGAGCAGGAGGAGGAAGAAGAGCAGGAGGAGAGGGAGGAGGAGGAGGAGGAGGAGGAGGAGGAGGAGGAGGAGGAGGAGGTGGTGAAAAAACATCCTGGCGAAGGACCCACCATGTGCGGGTGCGCTAACTGCACGACAGGTGGGACGAAGCAGGGGCAACTCCCTATGGGGCCACGAAACGTGTGAGGTGTGTGCCGAAGTCGGTGCGGTGGCGCCATGCGAACCCTGCCACTGGGGATTGGGTCACAAAACGTATGGGTGGGGCGCCGAAATGAATGCGTTGACGACATGCGAACTCTGCCACGGGGGCGTTCGGCGGGGTCCCCTGCGGGACCACGAAACATGTGCGGTGGCGCAATGCGAACCCTCACACTGGAGCCATCGGTAGGGCTCCCTATGGGGCCACGAAACGTGTCACGGGTGTGCTGAAATCGGCGCGGTGGCGCCTTGCGAACCCTCCCACTGGGGCCCTCGGTGGAAATCCGTATGGAGCCACAAAAAGTGTTTGGGGGGTGAACCCTGCCACTGGGGCATTCGGTGGAAATCCCTGTGGGGCCACGAAACGTGTATTAAGGGGTGTGCTGAGATCGGCGCGGTGGCGCCATGCGAACCTGGCACTTGAGCCTTCGGTGGATCTCCCTATGAGGCCAAGGAACGTGTGCAAGTGGGGGGGAAAGGGCCCAGTGGCGCCATGCGAACCCTGCCACCCTGAACTTCGATGGAGCTCCCTAAGGTCACGAAACGTGTGAGGGGTGTTCCGATTACGTATGGGTCCGGTGGCGCCATGCGAACCCTCCCACTGGGGCCCTCGGTGAGTTTCCCTATGGGGCCACGAAACATGTGGGTGTGCCGAAATGGGCACGGTAACACCCTACGAAACTTGCCGCTGGGACCTTCGGTGGGATTTCCTGTCGGGCCACGGAACGTGTGATGGGGGTGCAGAAATGGGCGCGGTTGCACCATGCGAACCCTGCCACTGGAGCCCTCGGTGGGCTTGCCTATGGGGCCATGGAACGTGTGAGGGGTATGCCGAAATGAGGGTGGTGGCGCCATGCGAACTCTCCCACTGGGGCCTTTGGTGGAGGTTCCTGTGGGGCCACGAAACGTGTGAGGAGTGTGCCGAAGAGGGTGCGGTGTCGCCATGCGAACCCTCCCACTAGTGCCTTCGGTGGAGCTCCCCATGGGGCCACGAAACGAGTGAGGAGTGTGCCGAAATGGGTGCGGTGTCGCCATGCGAACCCTCCCACTGGTGCCTTCGGTGGAGCTCCCCATGGGGCCACGAAACGAGTGAGGGGTGTGCCGACATGGGCGCGGTGGCGCCATGCGACCCCTGCCGTTGGGGCCTTCGGTGGAGTTCCTGATGGGGACGCAGAAAGTGTGAGGGGTGTGCCTAAACAGGGGCAGGCGGAGGGCAGAGGCAAAAATAGGCGGAGGTGGCAGCGGGAAGAGGTGCGACGCGGGGCGCTCTCTTAAAAACGAGGACCCGACACCACAGGATGGTTGGGGAAAAATCGAGCTACACGCTCTGGCGCCTACAAAGCCAGCCAAAATTCGGTTGGTGACAGGCGACCGCTGCGGAGGGAGACACAGCAGCCTGCAACCGCGTCCTTACCCAGAGGGGGTAGACGCGCTGCAAATAGTGGAGAGAGCGAGATCCACCGCCGTTTTCCTGTGCAAAATCCCCCCTCCTTCCCTCCGGAACCGGGGGGTCCCCCCCCACCCTCCGAAAACCCCACCCCTCCTTTTTCACCTCCCCCCCTTCCTCCGGCAAACCTCCCCCCCAACACCCCCCCCCCTCCCGGAAAACCGGGGGGCGTTCACTACTGGTGCGAACCCCCCCCCGGGAAAAAAAACGGAGGGGTTCACTGCCAGTTCAAACCCCCTCCCCTCCCTCGCAGCCGGCAAACGACTCCCCGGTCCCCACCACCGTCCTCACCACCGCCCACACCACTGTCCCCACGACCACCGTCCCCACCACTGTCATCCCAGTGTCCCCACTGTCCCCACCACTGTCCACTGTCCCCCACTGTTCCCATCACTGTCCCCACTGTTCCTACTGTCCACACTGTCCCTCCCACTGTCCCCACCACAGTCCCACTCTCCCCACTGTCCCCACTGTCCCCACCACTGTCCCACTGTCCCCACTGTCCCCACCCACTGTCCCCTCTGTCACCAAGTGTCCCCACCGCTGTCCCACTGTGGTGTTCCACTGTGGTGTTCCACTGTCCCCACTGTCCCCGCCACTGTCCCACTGTCCCCACTGTCCCCACAACTGTGTCACTTTACCACTGTCCCACTGTCCCCATTGTCCCAGTCACCAGTGTCCCATTGTCTGCACTGTCCCCACTGTCCCTATTGTCCACTGTACCACTGTCCCATTGTCCCGCTGTCCCACTGTCCCCACTGTCCCACTGTCCCCACTGTCCCACTGTCCCCACTGTCCCCACCGTCCCACTGTCCCCCCCATCCCCACCACCATCCCCACCACCGCCCCCACCACTGTCCCCACCAGTCCCCCAGCTGGAGTGGGGGAGGAGGGGGAGTCGTTTGCCGGTGGCGAGAAGGGACGGGGGGGGGGTTCGAACCGGTAATGACCCCCTCCTTTTCATGATGGACCCTGTGGGGGGGGGCGGGTGTGGAACCCCCAGTGGCACCCCCCGGTTTTCCAGAGGGGGGGGACACGGGCTTGAAACCCCAGTGACCCCCCCCTCGGTTTCCTGCCAGCAGCGGCAGGACACGCTCTTTCAAATCTTGAAACGCTGCATACAGTTATCAGTGTCCCACAATCACTCCGTGCTTTTGCTTGCTGCAATGGGGATGCCGACCTATACAAAAGGCAACTCAACCATAGTTCGCAGCACGGGAAAGGGGAGGAGTGCACTTGCCCGCGAGACATC